TCATATTCCACTGGGTTCAGCTTCATTCAAATGAGGAAAAAAACAGGACAAAAACATGATGAAGTGAGTTAATCAGGCACACTGTGTAGCAGAAGTGACCACAATATCTGGCAGACATGTTCACCAGCCTGAAGTCAAGCTGTTCCCCTCAACCAGACGTCCTTTTTGCCTATTTGTAGACAAAGGTTGTTGTTGGTGGATCTTCGAGGATTACAAAATCAACCCACCTACTGTTTGAACCATGCTGACAGTTCTGAGTGAGGCTTGGCAGGAAGGTCTGGATCAGCTGTTTGTGTTTAGCTTCCTTTCGGGGGGAGGTGACTGTTGTCTGAAGGTGCTTGTTATCTCAGTCAGACATTAACTGGGTTCATATTGAGCACACACACACATCCTCTGATAGACATGCTTTGTAAAAGAAAACCCTACAATTCCTTGAAGGAAGGTATTTCACTCACCACCTTTCATGAAAAAAGCTTCATTCTGACTAAAACTGATGTCCACAAACAACGCAGCACAGCAGACATAAAATACTGCTCAGAAATCTTTTGTTGGGTTCTCGAGCTTAAAATAGTTTGGAAAAGAGTCTCTGAAGTTGTGGACAGAAGTGAAATCCAACACTGGTGAGAAAAAAAGGAGCAAAACCAACACAAGCCTCAGTCAGTCACTTAATACAGAGCTTAACAGTAAAAACCCAATCAGCAAAATGAGCTTTATGTTTCAAAACTTATTATTATTATGTACACCTACACCTATGTATATTTGAGGATCTTTTCTAGCATAATTACCTATTTGTTAGTTGTTATATGGCCCAAAGCCTAGTCCTAATACAATGGAACCTCAATTTAGATTGGGGTTTAGGGATAATTGACACGGGTTAAGCAAATACTGATTAGTTGCAATGAGGGTCAGGATTATGCTACAGAAATAAATGGAAATCAATATGCTGTCCTAATAATAAGAGTAAAAACCTAAGCTCGTGTGTTTGTAAGCTAAATATCTCATGAACCATTTTAAGAATTTTACTAAAAATCTTGAAAAGTAATCGTTGGATTTACACCTGCAACTGATTGCTGTTTGAAATGAACCTGATTTAAGATGATCGCCACAGTTAATCAACCACAGGAAACATGAAAAAAGGCTACAACTCTGTCAGTTTTACAGACACTGAGCTAAACTTTGGTGTGGTGGTAACTGGGAGTTATTTGCAGCACATGTTCTGAACGCTAACAGGTTGTAAATAATCTCTGTATAAGACTTTGACGTTGACCATTTGAGTCAACCTTGTCAAAGGATTCAAGATGACTGTCACTGCCGTTTTTAATCTTTGGATTAAAACTTTTGCATGCAAGGGGGATTGGCAACATGCATGAACACTTGTCACTGTGGAGAAAAACTGGATTTATAAAGTGTAAATGATAGATAAAAATCTTAAAATAAGTTTATAGTCTTTAATATTGACAATACTGTAAAATAATACCACAGTAAAGATATTGTTCCACCTAGGAGTGTTGTGCAATGAGTCTGCCTTTTTGCTTCTTGTTTGGTAATGCACAGACGAACTATTTACACTGGTTGATTATTAAATCAAAGAATTCCAGCCTGACTTTTGTCCTCGAGGAGAGCTTTCCAGTCAAGTGTTACACTTCTAAGGAATGTGTGAGATTTACTTTGTTCAAGTCGCGGCAAATCAAACACAGGACGTGTATTTACCATCTTAAACATGCCTCAGACTGCAAAAACATTTTCTTTAATAAGCCAAAATTTCCAAATCAAGTTTAGCCATTTGTTTCTGAGCAGCCTTTTTTACACTTTTGCTCTGAAGGTGAAACAGCCTGACAATATAACAACAAAGTACTTAGAAGCAGCTCTGATATACAGCATGTGTCATCCTCAGGGGAAGGTAATTGCAAGCAGGGGCATGCTGGGAAATGAACCTGAACATCTGCTCGGGTTGGTGTTCTGCTCCTCTGTCCCAGTTCACAAGGTGAAAGCAGTACTGCAGAGAGTTGGGAGCATTTTTGTCATGAGGAAGCAAAGTGGTTGGAGAAGAAGAGCCACAAAAGGACAAACAAACGCCTAAGTGTTAGCAAGCTTCTCTGTTTTTTTGTTGATTGGTTGACAAATGGAGGTCACTCATTGGACGCTATTAGCGCGTGAACCCTTATATTTTATTTAAACCAGCAATGGTTACTCAGTTAAATTAAAATAACTAATCCCCAGACACAGCTTTATTACTGCATGAGGTTCTGTCATTATCAATTTGAGCTCTTTAAACTCATAAAAGCTGCATGTTTGGGCATGAAATTACTGTTGACTCGAGAGGCTGTGTGTTTTCAGGTGCACCATGGAAACCAAAGCTGCTCCAACTCAAAAAATATATCCTTATGTTAGCTCCGTTGCGCCACAGAAAAGTAAAACCTGTTTGCGACATGGACTTTTAGGCAGTTTGTTACATGTGTAGCAGAGACTGTGACCCACACACAAATCGTTGCTGTGAGGTGGAGTTCTGCCACGACTGAAAGTGTGACTTCCCTTTGACAAACTCCCTTTTGTTCAATCTACAAAAAAGCAGGTGTGAAGAGAAAGTGAAAACACAGAAGCTTTCTTTGTGGCAGGATTAGTTCCTGACTAAAAGCTATGGATAACAGGTCCAAAATCAATATATATTTCAGTATATGTCTGATATAAACTGTATAGTTTGTATGCCTTCAAAATATCAGATGGACATTTTTGATGCTGATAGAGAGCTGATTATTACCACAGGGTAGAACTCATTCAGATATGTCAGCATTTATTCTAAACCATGACTTGTCACCTCATATTACAACCAGTTATTAGCAACAAATGACCAACATTTAACCACAACATTTCAAGTGGCTTTTAAATCCTTCTTTTTCACATTTAAATCATTCAGTTGGGGTCTGCATAAAGTGGAACTCTGAATTCCTCCTCAGATCAACTCGCTTTTAGACTGTCTCTTTAAATCCAGGTACAAAACAAAATGAATTTAACAGCTAAAAGAGTGGATTTTGAGTAATTTGTCCCATTTAAAGYTGATCCAAAAGAGGTTATCAGGAGATGGATTCTCCTTAGCCTTCTGACCGATGCTGTGTGTGTTTGAATTTGTTTTCTTTAACAATTAAACAAGTAAACCTGCCTGAACAAACACCCCCCGGGTTGCGAGCTCCAGTGCAGACCTGTCAGGCTGCACATGATGAAGTGCTACCATGTGGCACGGGACACGTCAGAGGAGGCCACCCTGACATTCAGCATCTTCATGATGCTCGTGATAGCAGCTGACAGTGACTGATAATAAAAACCAGTTGTGCTTTTATTAACAACACATGTTTCAACAAAAGGACACATCTCACAACTGCTTTGTGTTTGTTTCTAGATGCACAATATAATCCTCACTGCACTATCCAGGAGTGCATTAAATCACCAACACATAACGTATGTGGCAATTAAATGGAATTCCACTAACATTTATGGGCAAGTTTTTTAAAAAAATGATTCAAAATAAGGATATGTAATTCTTTTTCTAGTTGCAAATCTTTTTTTTTTCGTGTTAGAAAATTGGTGCACCACATCTTCTTTTCAGATCAGAAAACGTTTGTAACTATTCTCAGTTACGGCTGTGTTTATTAGTAGAAACGAACTCTCGGTGATTTGGAGTTTGCACAAAACAGTGTGATTCCAAGTGATAGTTTGCGTATTGTCTCGCAATTTTGAATCTCTGACCACAACCTTGAACACCTACATGTGATTTAAGCTAGTTTCTCATGGCACAACGTTTGGCTATCCAAGACAAAATCTTTCATTATAAATCTTTGGTCAGAAGTTTGAATCAGCAGTTTGTGGTCGTTYGATGCCAGAGGACAACTCATCAGACATCCTACAAATATCAGCCTAAAGGATGTGGGAAAGTGGAACAGCTACATCTCTTTTTGTTCCTCCCTCTCCCTTTAGCATCAGAATATAATAATTAGAGCTTCAACATCCGAGCTTAAGTTATTTTTACTGTTGATCTCTGTCGCATCTTTGTGACATCTTAGATTCTCCTGCAGGAAAAATAAATCAGTATCTAATCAATGTTGCAGTGTGACACGGGTAATTGTCAAGATTCTTCTTGATCATGCACTGGTTATGACGGCTGAAAAATGGCACGTGTGTGAACCAGGTTTTAGATGATAGATGCTGTTGGAGACAATGATGCTTGTTTTCCTAATTTTGCACAGCCCTTTATTTTATACATGGTCATATGTCATGTAAATTCAGCATGCCTGCTTGAATGGACATAAAACTTAGTATGTATCAGAGCAGCCTTTGAAGGAACGTGACTGACCTACTGACTGACCTGACTGCAGTGTAAGATCACCCTTAGAAAAGATCTATTAACACAAGTCCAAAGAAGAGCTCAGCCTGCACATAAAACCAAATCAGATAAAAAATATATACATAAATCATTCTGGACAGATAATAATGTGTCAAACAAAAAGGCCTATAGGGATAGGTGCATCTTTTGTCTGTAAAATTATTATTAAAAGGAGAATATTTCTGTAAAACTCAGAGAGCTTTTATTTTTTTTTACTATTCATTCATGTCTATATATGAGTGCCAAATCCTATGATGCTCTCTTGTGCAGAGCGCGTGCTTGGGTGCGCCTGCTGTCTCATTCATGCGTCTCCAGAGAGGAGCTTCAGAACTGCCCACGATCACAGCAGCCCCACGGTCAAACACCACGCGGCGGTGTCCACGTCTGGCCCACTGTGAGCGGGGATTACACTCAGCCCGCCCCATGATCCCTTTAAATATAGTGCGCCCCGTGTCTCCTGTAAATAAATAAATAAATAAATAAATAAATAAATAAATAAATAAATAAATAAATAAATAAATAAATAAAACACCCACGCACAATGAGAGCAGCATGCTGCGTTCACGGACCCCATTTTCTGAATGGCTCCCTCCCACACCCCACCTGCACACGCACAGCGACCCACCTGCTTGTGTGGTGTCCGTCAAGTCGTAGCTCATCCCCGGGTACTCCCTCAGCTTTCTGCCGCTCAGGTTCAGGATCCCCGAGCTGACGGCATCCTCCAGAGCCCGGTCTAGGCTGCGGGCGGTGTGGTGCTGCTGCTGCTGCTGGTGCTGCTGGTGCTGGTACTGGCTGACAGCCGGGCTCCAGTGAGGTCCGCCGGGGTACTCGTGATGGCTTTGCAGCGCGGTGACAGCTCCCACACCTCCCTGACCAGACGCCATTTTCGTTCAAAAAAAAAAAAAAAAGAAGAAAAAAAGAGAAGAAATTCCTCCTAGAATAAAACCAGCGCGCAGCGGCCGCCGTCTACTCCGCCCATGCGCACACGCAGGCTGCACTCACCCGGACGGACCGCTAGGGGATGGGCTTCTGCGGTGCTGCTACTGCCGCTGGGAGGGATGGTGATGATGGTGATGATGATGATGATGATGATGTGGAGGGTCGGGTAGCCATTTTAGGCTATAACAC